CTAATATACTGATTCATTCATTCTATGTTTTGCAATTATTTAATTATTTATTTATTTATACCATGTTTATTGGAGTATAATTGCTTTCCTTCTAGATTTTACGTGCTGTGTTTAGCAGCAGACGTAAACCCCAATAAGTCACAATCCTCTCCGCCAGTGTGCTCAGAAGCCCAACGGGACATCAGACAAATTAGGCAATTACAAATCAGTGTGGTGACAATAGGGGTAAGTACACACATGAAATTTATTATGCCACACCCCTGATTAAAATCCTCTTAAGCACCCTCCTCCGCCACAGACTAAATCAAAATTTCTTAGGCTGGCATGTCAAAAGCCACTGGCCCCAGCAATTCTGCCAAGTGCCATCTCAGCCAAGGATGCTAAGCTAAGTAGATGCCCATAGACAGCTTCCACTGAGGCACCTGCTGAATGAACCGGCACACTCCATTCTCTCTCTGAGATACATTGACACCTACATCGGGATTTGGCTGCTGGCAGGTTTATCTCTAGTGCCCAGCAAGTAAGGTATAAACTCACCCAGGTCGGTTGTGTGTGTTCCCAAACTCATTTAGTCCAGTCGGACTTGTTACTGTAATTACATGATGCAAGCTGGCAAAATGTGAGTGTGCAAAGAAAGACTGCTGTTGATCCAGGAGCACTACTTAAATGGCTTGAAGAGACTTGATAAAGGCATATTGAGAGAATATTGCTAGCAAACAGGGTGGGAAAAGTGATGGTAAAAGACTGGAGTGGGGAGATAAAGCTAGGCATCTACATTTAGATATCTTCTAAAGTGTTTGAAAGTTCTTTTCCATCTTAAAGAAAGCAAAACTAGAAGGAGTAGATAAAGTGTTCCTGGTGTGTATTACTTAAGAAAGACAACATGGAACTACAATCAATGACCCCAGAGGAACAGCCTTGGCCTTGTAATAAAAGAGGGATGAATGGGCATCCACTCATATGTTTTAAATTCAAGCAAGTTGTTCAAGGTAGATACATATTGTTTTTTGATCAAAGTGTCCTGTGTCTGACTCTCAGAAGTAACCACCAACACCCTACTGTTCCCAACTGAGACAGATAAGAAGACATTACCTACTGTATTTGTAACTCCCCAGATGGTCCAGGCTCTCTCTAAGCTCCATCACTTTGAACATGCTGTTTCCTCTGCCGGGAAATGCCCTCTCTCTACTCCAGGCTCTGTTAGCTGGCACTCTCCTATTTACTCTGCACTCCCTTCACGCCACCTTTTCTTCATGCTTCTTTTCTAAAGCGTCCTTGGCTGTCCTTGTTTTCCTCACCCAGCAGTAGAAGGTCCTTCCTACATTTGAGGAACTCCTGGCTCTGTGAAGCAGAGCCTGCGTCTCACTGCAGAAGATGCAAATGCCAGCTATTCTCTGCCCCGACTCCCACTGCTGGCGCCCAGACACAGGACGAGGCATAGCTGCTTTCAGCCACAGGCTCCTGCTCTGCCTTTAAACCAGAGCTGGTGATGTGGAGCTCTGGGACGCTGCTGTCGAGTCTGCTCTGGAGAGGGTGGTGGCAGTGAAGGGCTGTTTCCCATTTCTGGAGGTGCCAGTGGTTGAGATGCGGGATGGCTCTGTGGCCTCCGTGTGTTTGGTTATTTGGCCCTCCCAGGTATTCTGGGAGCCCCCTGATAGCCTTTCATAAATTCCTTTCCTGCTCAAATTAGCTAAAGCTGTTTCCTATTGCCTAAAGCTAAGATTCATGACTGATATCTTGACTCATCACCCCGGTATGACGTTGTTGACTGCTCCAATGTGTCTTTGTCCCCGTGTGATTGCGAGCTAGCGACATCCCATCTCATCTCCATCACCCTAGTGCCCAGCCTAGTGCAAAGTAATGCAGAGCAGATCCTCAACGAATTGCTAATTTGTTAATTTGCAAATGAATTACCTAATTGATGAAAAAAGTTTCCTCTGAAAATCTCAGTCCATAAAATAACAGCAAACGACACCGGGGTGTTTCCAGTGGCTGAGGAGAAGCATGGCCCATTTTGGATATCTTTTTATTCGTATTTCTCATAGAAGACAAGTGCAGTCACAGAGAGTTCCATAGTGTTTAATTAAATATATGACTGTAACACACATTGGATACTTATAATACACTTAGCAGCACTGCAAAATGTTTGTAATGCATGTGGGAGTACACAGTCAAATCAGAGACTTTCAGTGTAGTGAACAATGGATATTTTAAAGAATAACCCCGAAGAGAAACAATGGGACTGGCAGAAATGCCATCTGATCTCCATCATTCCAGCTGTCTGATCACATATGCTCACTGCCTTCCTGGCCAATTCTAAGTCTTGTGGCCTCTCTACAAATGCTCTGAAAACACAAGTATGTACATCTGAAACAGCCCACACTTGACTTTTCTGAAGCAAATTCCCCTGGAAATGAGAACGAAGGGAGAGGCAAAGGCTGGTAGAAAGTCAGTCGAATAAGCCAGGGTGCCCTAGATTCAGACATCGTTGTTTAATGGACCAAATTACTTATCAGTTTTCTTTTCATTTCACACCATATAGAACTAGCAGTTTACATCTCTGATTTATGCACTGTCTCTGACCAGGAGTTTTTCTTTCTTCATGAAATCCCAAAGAGGGTCAGAACAAATGTGTAATCTTACATTATACAGTATATAATCAAGCATTAGCAGCAGTTATGATTATAAGAGTATGATACATAGATTTTACATACCTCCGGTAACAGACAGACATTCACACACTGAATTCAAATGATAATCTATGCTAACAGGATTTTAAAGCTGGAGGGACCTTGATCTTCCTTGAGACCTATCCCCTCCCTTCTTTGAGAGATTGTTTACTTATATGAGGGATACAAACTTACAGCTTCCAGTCCTGACTTAACATGTAAGGTTGAGTAACTTACCTGTCCTGTCTGTGTCCCCATTTCCACATAAGGCAAAGGTAATAATGGTAAGTACCTCATAGGACCTCTATGAATAAGATGCAAGAGAGCTAGGTTGGGTGTGAGGTTTCCTGTGATGACCTCTTCCTCGAGACTTGGCTCACGTTTCTACAGAAGGTAAATAACCCACCTCCGCCTGGTGGAAAATGTCTTCTGCTCACACGCCAGACAGATTCTGCTTTTCTTCCACAAAGATGTGTACCACTCTTGTGGCATTTTCCTGCCTGTCTTCCAGCAGGGAAGCTTTGAACATGCCTCCATGACCGCATTTTGTGTTATAATGATTTGTTTACAAGCTACCTTTTGTTAGATTTTTCACTTTATGAGGGCAGGGTCCCGACCTTGTTTGTCTTAGACCTCCCAGACTACCACTGTGGTTGGCACAGAGCACGCTTTCCATAAATACTTGTCAAGGAAACGGAAGGGTTAATGCTTACAGAGGTGCTTTGAAAAATCACAAAAGTGCTGAGCAAATCTAAGGGATTATGAGACTATAGTCATTGCTAGTGATTCAGAGAAAAGCACTGGAAGGTACAACACTGAACTAGTCTGATTATCATTAGGCCTCTAAGCCAACAGATAAGGTCTATTAGTCCACTATTTAAAACTCACTTCACAAACATCACAACATAAAACCAGAAGGAAAATTTAAAAAATTAAAAGCACTTAATATCCCCCCAAACAAACTAAAAACACAACAAAGAAAAAAGACAAAACATAAATGACAACAATGAGGACAAACTCCCAAACAACAATATCAATCCTGGACTGATGTCCTTCTTGATCTGTGTACACCCGGAGTGGCGATGGGGATGGTATGGGGGCCTGTGTAGAGGCATCAGCTGCACTGCCTTGAGTTGAGACTGCTTCGCTGCCTTGATTTGGCTTGAGACAGCCTTTAAAAATTTATCTGGACCAAGAAATGCAAGAGGACCCATGTCAGATGTTCTCTATATCTTCGGGAAAATGGCCACAGTCGGCTCACTCACTGCATGAGCTTGTAATTCCTTCTCGCTGAAGTTTTGTGGCAACATTCATGGTGATAGAAATCAGGATGGTGGATGGATTTGGGTTGGGAAGTCTCTACACATATAGAAACATTATTTCCTGGCTCGCGGCTCGAACGCACCAGTGTCGTGGGTCAGTAACAGGTTCTTCCATCATCAATGGATGCCCCTGGGTGGGAGAAGCAAGTGGATCATGCTCTTGATAACTAAAAATAGAAATTCCAGGCTTCTAGTTGATTCTCTCTTGAGCACTTTTTCAGAAAAATGGAATAAAATGGTCTTTGTGGCTCCGTCTTACTTTCTCCACTTTTTGTAGACATGGCTGGCCATGGTGCTTCGTATGTCATGAGGCCATTCCCCCCGCACCCTGTCTTCCTTGTAGCCTTTTCAATTCGGGTGACCATAGGTCCCCTTTTGCCTGGGACAGTCACAGTTTACGCTTGTTGTCCTGGAGTGATTATTTATAACTTCCCCTTTCACTTGCAAAAGTGACCCAGTTCGGACAATACATTATACAGTCACCCTGTTCTAAGTGAGGTTTGGCACTCGAGAGTGGAACAGCCCCTAGTTAAGAGGAAGGCACATGACTTGGAGGAGATGCAGTTAGGCTCCTGGGCAGAAAATCTTGATTCTATTCCTTGCTGAGTGGGGAGCATGGATAAGCTAATTTAAGCCACAGTTTCATCATCTGTAACATAGAGAATGATACTAATCGCACCCACCTCCCAGGATTATTGTGAGGATGCAGTGCGAAAAGATGTGTAGAGCACGTAGCACAGCATTGTGTACATAGTGAGTCCTGATAATGGTATCTCTTATTCTAATTCTCTCCTTGTTTCTTCCGTTGCTCCCTTTTGCCCTCCCCACCCTTCCGTCTTTTCCTCCACCCTTTCTTTCACTCTTTTCTGCTTTTTTTCCTTTCTGAAATAAATGAATCATTGCATTGCCTGAAGCAGAATGCCCCTGCCTCCTGTCTCTTGCCACTGAAGCAGGGAGGTGTGGTCGAAGCACTGTTTCAGAATCCTGTGGACCATGTCGAGGGGCTGCTTTCATTTTGTCTTCTTTGTGCTGTGAGGGAGAGGGGGACTCGGTTATCTTTGTTCATCATGATGGTTCTGGCCGTCAGTTTCTTGCAATTCACTGGTTTTGGTAGAAGCTGGACATGGTGACATAGGCTTCTTCTTGATTTGATACCAAGGAAGTGAGGATGGACTGCCCCTGGGCAGCAGGGTTCAATGCCAGGGTTCCGGGTTGGAATGGAAACAGAGGGGGCAGGGTGCTGTTTGTAGTTCCAGGGCCAAGCAGCAGGTCTTGGTACAGGAGAGGCCCATTCTTGCCACCTTCCTTGCAGCCTGGGGACGTGGAGAAGGGGAGCCCAGGGGCATCACACACACTGATGTTCCCAGCCAGGCACCTGAATGACGACTCTCTTCTGAAAGTTTTTGGGCTGATGCCTACATGCTCGGAGGGCCAGTTGGGGCCCTGCATACCCCCTCCGAGCCTCGCCTTCTCAGACTCCTCTAGCTGTGGAGGAAGAGGGTCTTGCAGAAAGCCTTCTGCTTCATCTCTAGCTTGAATGCCATCCACCTTATGAATCTGGCAGTCCAGGAAACTTTCAGGATTGAAACTCACATTCAAATTCTGCACCAAAAAAAAAAAAAAAAAAAAAGTGAGAGGCATTAAGACTGCACCAGAGAGACACATCAGCAAATGTTCTGTTCAGGAAAAGAGCTCAAGAACTTTCCAACAGGGGTTTACCAGGGTATGTCAGAGAATTACCCACATGTTCTAGTTGACTCTGCCTCTGGAGGTGCTGTGACACCTCACGGTCTGAAGTATCCCTGGGGAAGTCTGGGAAATTCTGAGACTTGTATCTCATTTTAGTTTCCCACCTCCAGGAACCTGCAGCTGGCATCTTATGAGGGACCCTAGTTATGTGATACACGAAAGACCGACACTTGAGGTTCAGCCATTCCTCATCCTGCAACATCATTCTTGGCTGCTGGGATGCCTCTGACATAGTGATGGGAGCACCAGACGCACTCACTTTTTTTGGTTTCTTGCACAGTTGCTCCAGAGTCTCCTTATGATCAGGGAGACTGGGCCATATGATAGGCTTGATTCTGAAATGAAAGGACATTGAAGATGTAATGAATGGTGGAGGGAGCAGGCACAATAGACCTTCCCACTTACTCTGAGCCAGCAGTCAGAAGAGCAGATTTCTAGCCTTGGCTCTGCCACAACTAGGTAGATGATCTTGGACAAGTGACTTGCTTTCTCTGGGCCTCAGAGTCCCACCAGTCCATGGAGGGGTTGGACCAGAGACCATTGTCAGTGATCTACTCTGTGAACCAGACAATAATGATACACCCCTGGCCAAGAGCCCTGGAGAAAAGGAACAATAAGTCTTGGCAATGATGTAGCTATGAAACTAAAATCTGATCTGTTCATCTACTCTCCAAAATAGGCTTTGTCATCTTTCTTTTCTCTTCATTGGCAGCAACTCCTCTGCTCTGATTTTGGTGGAAGTGAGATATACTTTCAAAGTTACACAGGGAAATTGCTTTAGGGTTTTACTTTAGAAACTGGAGTATCTTGCGGGGGCGCGGGGGGGGGGCGGGTATGTGACCTTGTGCTGAGGGCATCTTCTTAAAACATTAATAACTCTACTGAAATGTGTCTAGATGATGAAACAAGCGTGGCGCTATCATGGGGTAGAATGCAAAAGTCTCATGAATTCGTGTGCTGAAAGCTAAGACTTCAAAAACATTCTGCATTTCCCATGGGTCCCTCCAGCTGCCCAGGCATTCTGGGGGGATGGCTCTTACCCACTGAGGACACTTGGGAGGAAACGTTTGTGGGGAGGATTTGCCCTATGTTCAGTTTATATATTTTTACCTCTTGTGAAATTAACTATAGAAATTCATCAGTGCCTGAGGATGAAGAGCGATATAGGGCCCTGCAATTCCTGAAATGCCTTATTCCCCTTTGTAGTTTTCTCATCAATAAACAGGACTAGAGCTCTGACTGTCTGGAATCCCACATAAACACTCTCTTGATTAGTTAAAGAAATTCACCTTTTTTCCCACAACACACAGGCCAGAACGACCATCAGAGCCACAGAGAAGAAACTCAGAATGATGATAATTAGTAAAACAGGATCCATCTCCCCTGGAAGGCAAGGATAGATCTTGGTTAGCAATCATGAAGCGTGCTGTGGGGGAGACTTTCAGGATGCTATGAGTTTATTTAGTAACTTGGGCCCATTTATTATTTCTTGAAAGTTGCTTTTCATTAAACAAGATGGTGTACTAGCTTTTATGGGGGAATTTGGGCTTCAGTAAGTGACACTGTTGCTGAAACAGCCTCTGTTCAGCAGTGCTGAATAGAAACGTGGAGACAGAGTTTTGGGTGAAATAGAAAAGAGTAGCTTTTATTGCTCTGCCAAGCAAATGGGGCGGGCTAATGCCCTCAAGACTATGTGACCCACCCTGGAGGGGGTAGTGAGGAGTCTTATAGTGTTCAAGGAGTAGGGCGTTGTCAGCTTGTGGATATTCTTCTGATTGGTTGGTGGGGAGGAAATGGGGAGCCAGCATCATCAACGTTCTGGTTCAAAACAGTCTAGGGTCTACGTTCTTGGGGTCAGCAGTTTTCATCTGGTAGGGGTGTGCTTCCTGTTAAAAACAACTTAGGAATGTGTGTCAGGCCTTTAACTGTATCTCTCAGGGAACCATGAGTTCGGTGGCAGATGTGGCGGATTTATAATCTATAAATTGTTACCAGTTCCCCAGCCCAATAGCTATTCTTTGTTTCTACACCTTCACATTTCTCAATCATTAACTCTTGAGTCAGCCTTTCACTTCAGAAGACAAGGGCACAGGATCTTGTACATGGTTTCAGCACCGACTTAAGTGACCAGGTCCAGAACATCTGTCACTTGGAATTTAAAAGTGACCTAACATTAAAGACAGCAGCACCCCCTGCCTAACTTCTACCACCAAGAGAGAGAAGCTGAGCAGGGGAATGATGAGAGATGCTCTACCCTGAAGCCTCAGCAATTCCTAGGGTAAGGACGGGAGGCTGGTGCAGCAGAGCTGTTCCGTGCATCCCCCAAAGGGAAGGTATATGTGGGGTGCTCTGGGTCCCCAGTGGTCTGCCTGAGCTGTGCCCTTTGGTTCTTCTGGCTGTTCTCAGTTCCTAGACCCCCAGGATATCTTCATTATTCTAGAAAAGGATTCATGGGAAAGCCACACCAGCCTACCCATCTGCCACCCTCTATGGTATTCCCTAGAGGGACTTGGCGGGACCGGCCATTGGGATCCCAGTCTGAATTGGTAAACTAGAGGTAGTGGGTGGGAATTTTGTTCAGAACTAGTGGCTCCCAGGAGTGCCCAGGACAGTAGAGTCCAGACAGCCTACACCAGCTGATCAGCGACTAAGAGCCCTACTCCCACCCCTTCTTTGTTCTTCACAAAAGGGGCAAAGATGGCAGGTCATTTTTCAAAGAAAGTGTAAGAATGCCCTCTGGGGAGTCCTGACTTGTGGGTTTGTTTCATCTCTCTGGCTCTCACTGTCCCTCACAGACTTTGACATGCAAAGCACTACGGGGGGGGGGCGGGGGGAACAGACTCCAGTCACTTCTCACCTGGGCCATTGGTCTCTGGAGTTCTGAAGTGGAAACTTGGACTCCATTCACTCCAGAAGCCTTCAAAATAGTTGGTGTTAGGGATGGACCGAGCTTTAATCTCATACATTGCATTGGGTTGTAACTTTCTCTGCAGGAGCATCAACTTTGTACTGGATAAATTCATGTGCTGAAGAGCAAAAAAAGGCCACTACATTTTTAAGGTGGAAAAAGAGGCGGTGCTCACATCTCCCAAATCATTTCAAGTTGAGTGTCTTTAGTCATGTGGGCACTCTCTGGAAGTTCTCTCATATTTGTTAGAAAAAGGAGCTCTGACGTGGAGGGGTTGGAAGCAGAATTGGGGCAGAGTGTGTGAGCTCACAAACAATGCTGCAAGTGGTCAAGGAGGGCAGTGATAAAATGGGTCTTTTTCTTTATTCAGGTGAGTTGGGCTCTCCCAGTCAGGGAGGGTATAAATCACTCCCAGGCTCCCGCCTTCCTTTCCACAGTCTACTCTCTTCTTTTTCTTTCCCTCCCATTTCACATCCCACGGAGAGATGAAAGGGAATGGTAAGGTTAGTGAGCAAGAATCATTTTCCTCTGGAAAGATATAATTCTACATCGTGAATAGCAATATAGAGACACAGTCTCTCCAATAATGCGTGTCATCCTTAGGAGGAAAAAGTACTCTATCAATTTGATGGGTAAAAAGTAATACCTATGGTTATGTACATTTAGATTTATTTGATTATTAGTTTTTTATACTTATTGAAATTATATATTTTCTATTTTGTGAGACATTTCCAACTTTCTTGCTAATTTTTCTATTGTCATATTTGTCCTTTTCTTAATGATTCATAAGACCTTTTTATATTTTAAGAATATTAACCATCTGTCAGTTGTATGTGTGGTAATTTAAGCTTAATTTCTTTTTTTTTCTTTTTTTTCTTTTTTTTTGCGGTACGTGGGCCTCTCACTGTTGTGGCCTCTCCCGTTGCGGAGCACAGGCTTCGGACGCGCAGGCTCAGCGGCCATGGCTCACGGGCGCAGCCGCTCCGCAGCATGTGGGATCTTCCCGGACCGGGGCACGACCCCGCGTCCCCTGCATTGGCAGGCGGACTCCCAACCACTGCGCCACCAGGGAAGCCCTATTAAGATATTTTTATATACATCTTCATAAATTTTATAACGTATAAATGTAGTTGACCTACATACCATCCATTCATTTTCATTTTTTTCCTGACGGTAGGCTACCTCATGCATTAATTCTTTCACATACTTCTTTTGTAAGTGCGATGTATTAAATGTCACCTCAAAGTCATTTGCTCCCTTGCGATAGACGACTCTTATGTCAAAAGGAGCCTCAGGTTTAACTGAAAAGGAAAAAGAAATGAAGTCATTCTATAGGGTAGTCAAGGAAATAATTATAATTTTTAAAGTTCATCTACTCTGAAAATCACATTCCTTTTCTGGGTCAGTAAAAACCATTTCTTCTTCTTCCCGGTTCAAAGCCTGACTACATTTCCCAGTCTCCCTTGCAGTTGGGTGTGTTCTTGTGAAGGATGTAGGCGGAAGTGATGTGCACCACCTCCCATCCTGGCCCAGAAACCTCTCATGTGTGACCCCATGCTCGGTCCCCTTCTGCCACTTGGAGCCATATGTTGAAGAGAGTGGAGCCCCAGGATGGAGGAGCCCTGAATGTTGCTTGAAGGAGCATCACCCACAGGTTAGAAACACCCATTTTGGCTCTTACATGAGCAAGAAATAAACTTATGGTGGTGGAGATATATGTTTTAGGGCGTATTGGTTACAGTAGCTAGTGCTAATTTTACGCAGAAAACATATTCTCTTCCCCTTTTGAGTACTAGAGGACTTGTTACTAACTAGACCCGAAGCAGGAGAATTTGAACTTTGAGTCTTCATTATTCTGCTAAAACCGGGGGCCTTACACCTCATCTCAGTTACATGGAAACTGGGGATCTGCATCCTGGCCCTGGCTCGTAACTTCTGGTGTGACTGCAGGTTGCCTGCTCCTTCAGTCTTGTTTGCTTTAGCTCTAAACTCCTCTCTGGCTTCTTCCTCCTGTCTACCTGCCTGGGATCAGAGGCACCATATATGAAATACTGTGGGAGGGAGAGAGGTATTATTTCAGGCAGAACAAACCCAGAGAAAGGTACTGAAATCTTACGAGCACATGTGTGTCAGGACACCTCCCACCCTTGACTTGGGCTTTCCCTGTCTTGGCCTCTTTGCTGTTCTTTCACTAAAGCCTGGGAACTTAGTTGTCTAGGGATGGGGCAGCCACTTGTTTGCATGGCTGATCTCAGACAGAGATTGGGAGATGCATAGGTTAAAATCTAACCTAAACCTGTTGTTAATGAGGGAGTGTTCATCACAACTTCACGCAGTAGACTGAGCTGGATTCCAGGCTATATGATCTGGGCTTTAAGACTGACTTGCTGACCCAGTAAAATGAGCTCATGTGGTTTAGTTTGGCCCCCTTGTCGTAATCACTTGCTCGTAGTGGTGGCTGCCTAAATGTCTCCTGCCTTGATTCCCCCAGAGGTACTGAAAAAGAGGAAGTGCTTCTTCTTTACCCGTGGATGTCTTCTGCAAGGGGAAGTTTACCCTTTTTTACCCTTAGATGCACTATAAACAGGGAAGATACCCCAAAGGGAAGCAGGAGGAAAGGTAGTGGGTGGAGAGAAACAGACCAACAGAGAAGACTGTCAGTCCTTTGACACCAGCCAAGCCAGTTTCTACCTGCCATTCAAGGAAATGATTAAGATTCACATTCTCAACAAAACCTTTGACACTGAATCCCTTGCTGCATCCCCATCTCCCAAGGCCTCTCAATAATGGAAGAATTCAGGGAAGAGCAGACTAATGTTGATTACATACTTACTGAGTGCCAAGCTCTTAACTTATGCCATCTTGCATCAACACTCACTCATTGCCAGTATACTGATGAGGAAACTGAGTCTGAGGGGTTAATTAGCTAAGTTCAGCCCCCATAGGATGAGTTAATAAGATGTAAATCCAATTCTGTCTGATCCTGAGTCTCACTCTCCTTCATTTATTTATTTTTTTTTAAAATTATTTATTTATACAGTAGGTCCTTGTTGGTTATCTATTTTAAATATAGCAGTGGGTACATGTCAATCCCAAACTCCCAATCTATCCCCCTCCCCTCCCCTTCCCCCCGGTAACCATAAGTTCATCCTCTAAGTTTATCCAGTGAGTCTGTTTCTGGTTTGTAAATAAGTTCATTCGTATGGAGAACAGTATGGAGGTTCCTTAAAAAGCTAAAAACAGGGCTCCCCTGGTGGCGCAGTGGTTGAGAGTCCGCCTGCCGATGCAGGGGGCGCGGGTTCGTGCCCTGGTCCGGGAAGATCCCACATGTCGCAGAGCGGCTGGGCCCGTGAGCCATGGCCGCTGAGCTTGCGCGTCCGGAGCATGTGCTCCGCAGCGGGAGAGGCCACAAGAGTGAGAGGCCCGCGTACCACAAAAAAAAAAACACACAAAAAAAACGCAAAAAACTAAAAACAGAGCTACCATATGATCCAGCAATCCCACTCCTGGGCATATATCTGGAGAAAAACATACTTCAAAAGGATACATGCACCCTAATGTTCATTGTAGCACTGTTTACAGTAGCCAAAACGTGGAAGTAACCTAACTGTCAGTTGGCAGAGGAGTGGATAAAGAAGATGTGCCATATATATATATATATATATATATATATATATATATATATATATATATATATATATATATATATATATATATATATATATATATATATATATATATATATATATATATATATATATATATATATATATATATATATATATATATATATATATATATATATATATATATATATATATATATATATATATATATATATATATATATATATATATATATATATATATATATATATATATATATATATATATATATATATATATATATATATATATATATATATATATATATATATATATATATATATATATATATATATATATATATATATATATATATATATATATATATATATATATATATATATATATATATATATATATATATATATATATATATATATATATATATATATATATATATATATATATATATATATATATATATATATATATATATATATATATATATATATATATATATATATATATATATATATATATATATATATATATATATATATATATATATATATATATATATATATATATATATATATATATATATATATATATATATATATATATATATATATATATATATATATATATATATATATATATATATATATATATATATATATATATATATATATATATATATATATATATATATATATATATATATATATATATATATATATATATATATATATATATATATATATATATATATATATATATATATATATATATATATATATATATATATATATATATATATATATATATATATATATATATATATATATATATATATATATATATATATATATATATATATATATATATATATATATATATATATATATATATATATATATATATATATATATATATATATATATATATATATATATATATATATATATATATATATATATATATATATATATATATATATATATATATATATATATATATATATATATATATATATATATATATATATATATATATATATATATATATATATATATATATATATATATATATATATATATATATATATATATATATATATATATATATATATATATATATATATATATATATATATATATATATATATATATATATATATATATATATATATATATATATATATATATATATATATATATATATATATATATATATATATATATATATATATATATATATATATATATATATATATATATATATATATATATATATATATATATATATATATATATATATATATATATATATATATATATATATATATATATATATATATATATATATATATATATATATATATATATATATATATATATATATATATATATATATATATATATATATATATATATATATATATATATATATATATATATATATATATATATATATATATATATATATATATATATATATATATATATATATATATATATATATATATATATATATATATATATATATATATATATATATATATATATATATATATATATATATATATATATATATATATATATATATATATATATATATATATATATATATATATATATATATATATATATATATATATATATATATATATATATATATATATATATATATATATATATATATATATATATATATATATATATATATATATATATATATATATATATATATATATATATATATATATATATATATATATATATATATATATATATATATATATATATATATATATATATATATATATATATATATATATATATATATATATATATATATATATATATATATATATATATATATATATATATATATATATATATATATATATATATATATATATATATATATATATATATATATATATATATATATATATATATATATATATATATATATATATATATATATATATATATATATATATATATATATATATATATATATATATATATATATATATATATATATATATATATATATATATATATATATATATATATATATATATATATATATATATATATATATATATATATATATATATATATATATATATATATATATATATATATATATATATATATATATATATATATATATATATATATATATATATATATATATATATATATATATATATATATATATATATATATATATATATATATATATATATATATATATATATATATATATATATATATATATATATATATATATATATATATATATATATATATATATATATATATATATATATATATATATATATATATATATATATATATATATATATATATATATATATATATATATATATATATATATATATATATATATATATATATATATATATATATATATATATATATATATATATATATATATATATATATATATATATATATATATATATATATATATATATATATATATATATATATATATATATATATATATATATATATATATATATATATATATATATATATATATATATATATATATATATATATATATATATATATATATATATATATATATATATATATATATATATATATATATATATATATATATATATATATATATATATATATATATATATATATATATATATATATATATATATATATATATATATATATATATATATATATATATATATATATATATATATATATATATATATATATATATATATATATATATATATATATATATATATATATATATATATATATATATATATATATATATATATATATATATATATATATATATATATATATATATATATATATATATATATATATATATATATATATATATATATATATATATATATATATATATATATATATATATATATATATATATATATATATATATATATATATATATATATATATATATATATATATATATATATATATATATATATATATATATATATATATATATATATATATATATATATATATATATATATATATATATATATATATATATATATATATATATATATATATATATATATATATATATATATATATATATATATATATATATATATATATATATATATATATATATATATATATATATATATATATATATATATATATATATATATATATATATATATATATATATATATATATATATATATATATATATATATATATATATATATATATATATATATATATATATATATATATATATATATATATATATATATATATATATATATATATATATATATATATATATATATATATATATATATATATATATATATATATATATATATATATATATATATATATATATATATATATATATATATATATATATATATATATATATATATATATATATATATATATATATATATATATATATATATATATATATATATATATATATATATATATATATATATATATATATATATATATATATATATATATATATATATATATATATATATATATATATATATATATATATATATATATATATATATATATATATATATATATATATATATATATATATATATATATATATATATATATATATATATATATATATATATATATATATATATATATATATATATATATATATATATATATATATATATATATATATATATATATATATATATATATATATATATATATATATATATATATATATATATATATATATATATATATATATATATATATATATATATATATATATATATATATATATATATATATATATATATATATATATATATATATATATATATATATATATATATATATATATATATATATATATATATATATATATATATATATATATATATATATATATATATATATATATATATATATATATATATATATATATATATATATATATATATATATATATATATATATATATATATATATATATATATATATATATATATATATATATATATATATATATATATATATATATATATATATATATATATATATATATATATATATATATATATATATATATATATATATATATATATATATATATATATATATATATATATATATATATATATATATATATATATATATATATATATATATATATATATATATATATATATATATATATATATATATATATATATATATATATATATATATATATATATATATATATATATATATATATATATATATATATATATATATATATATATATATATATATATATATATATATATATATATATATATATATATATATATATATATATATATATATATATATATATATATATATATATATATATATATATATATATATATATATATATATATATATATATATATATATATATATATATATATATATATATATATATATATATATATATATATATATATATATATATATATATATATATATATATATATATATATATATATATATATATATATATATATATATATATATATATATATATATATATATATATATATATATATATATATATATATATATATATATATATATATATATATATATATATATATATATATATATATATATATATATATATATATATATATATATATATATATATATATATATATATATATATATATATATATATATATATATATATATATATATATATATATATATATATATATATATATATATATATATATATATATATATATATATATATATATATATATATATATATATATATATATATATATATATATATATACACACACACAATGGAATATTACTCAGCTATTAAAAAGAGTGAAATAATGCCATTTGCAGCAACATGGATGGACTTGGAGATGATCATACTAAGTGAAGTAAGCCAGACAGAAAAAGACAAATATCATATGATATCACTTATATGCAGAATCTAAAAAGTGATACAAATGAATTCTCTCTCCTTCATTGAGCTTTTGTTTCTGTGCTCAGCTCTCTCCCACTGGCTTGTTCAGGCTCTCCCCACACAGATCTGCTTCTAAACCCAATGGTACATTTGAGCAAATTAGAAAAAGGTGCTCATTCCTCAAGCAACATCTTAAAAAGTTAATTTATTCTTGGCACAACTTGAACTATTATATGAATTTACCCTGACAAGAAAAGGGGGGAGACAGAAGCTGCCCCTCCAGACTTACTGGGGACCCACACCTAAAGAAGGAGTTGTGAGTGAGGGGACTGGTGGCTGCAGGGGACCTTTGGCTCTGGGGTTAAACAGCAGCATCTAATTTCAGTTAAATGACAGTTCTGTTAATGAACTGTAGCATCAGGAACCAGAAGACGATGCTACTGGGAGACATATGTCCACCACCGCTCATGCTGCTTGCCCAGGCACCCCGAGGTGCTAACAGCACCCATTTGTAGACCTATGCTACCAGCAGAGTGCACACCCTGTCTCTCCTCTGGTCCCTCAGAGGAGGCTGCCGGTCAGGTTTTCCATCTGCTGGGTGGTACAGAATGTGGACTTTGAAGAGCACTGGGCATATGAGATCTGGAGAGTCTGATGGGGCAGACTGCCACCAAGAGCCTGTGGGCGTGCCCTGAGTGTTCACATGCTCACGCACTAAGATGCATGTGGGCCCTCTGTGCTGGGGTGGGTTTTTGTAAAAAGGGGCTCTCCCCTGGGGCTTCAGGACTCTGTCACAGGACTGAGTCTCTGCCCTCTCTGCCTGCTCTCCGAGAGTAAATACATATTTGCAGTGTAAATGATGAACTTCTAGACATAGTGCCCTGTGCACAAACTGAACATCCATCCATAGCAGCCTAATCTCCAAATGACCAAAACTCAGCTTGCTTGTGTCCCAATACTCAGAGATAACCTGTCGTGCCACCGCCCCTAAGCACTCACACTGGTTGTGACTAATGTCTCTTTTCTACTCTACCTCTGCTTTTTGTACAAGATGACTGTTCAAACATGGACCTTCTGCTTTTGCCCTTTACTATATTAGTGGTACAAAACTGAGACTAGATGCCAAGTTTCTCTTTGTCATCTCTAATGAGTATTGCTCTCTTACCTTTAATTTTCTTTTAGGAGGGTGAAGGGAGGGGGTTGAGAAGAGGGAGAGACAGAGCCATAGTATTTAAAACCAGAAAGAAAATGCACCTCTTCAATCACTTTGAACAGTCTTCTCCCTACATGTATGGTTTTACTTGCAAATCTCCATAGGTAGAATGAATACAAGAAGTTAGGATTCCATTGCACTGATATATCATAACTGGCTTAGACATTCCCCTCTACCAGGGTATCTCTGAAGTTTTGAAAAAGAACCTTTTTTACCTCAGTGTGATAAATCTGTAAGTAATGGGAAGACTTTTTGTGTCTATATTCCCAATCTTTCTGATCATTTTGTTTGCTTGGTAACCGAATGGTGAATTGGTAATTAATACTGACTTACAACCTGATAATCGAATGGATTTACTGAAATCCATGATTCATATTATTATGTATATTATATAGAACCAAGGGAAACATATAGATAAATTTAGCAAATCCAATTGTACTTTTTTGGGAATATAATAATTATCACTTTTTCTGGCCAAGTGTAATATGTGTATTCTACATACATATTACACTTAATATGTATATTCTAGGCCAAATCAGATATGACTATGCATCACTCCTCAATAGTAAGTCTCCTAGGAAGGTGTGATGGTAATTTCATGTGTCAGCTTGGCTGGGCTATGGTCCCCAGTTGTTTGACTAAACACTAATCTAAAGGCATTTTTTTTTTTTAAGACATGACTAACATTCAAATCAGGAGACTCTGAGTAAAATAATTACTTCTAAAATGTGGTAGGCCTCATTCAATCAGATGAAGGCCTTAAAAACAAACACTGAGATTCCCTGAAGAAGAAGCAATTTTGTCTTAAGAATGCAACATAGAAATGCTGCTTGAGTTTCCAGACTGCCTGGTCTGCCCTCTGGAATTTGGACCCCTAAAATCATGACAGTCAATTCCTTAAAATGAATCTCTTTTTCTCTATCATCTATCTATCTATCTATCTATCTATCTATCTATCGATCTATCATCTACGTATCTATGTATATCCATCTATCCTATTGGTTCTGTTTCCTCTGGAGAACTCTAATACAGAAGGCATATTTACTTTTTAAAATAACTTGATAATTTTGCGAAATCCACTCACAGGTAGGTATGTGGGGAGAAGACTACAAGGAATTGAGGAAAAGGTAAGGTGAGGAAGGAAAAGACGTGTGTGGGTGAGGTACAGGAGGCCCAGCTCCAGTTAGACACTTCACACAGATGAACTCTTCCTGCAATCTGTCAGTGTCAATCACCCTTTTTCATAGCTCAGTTTGAAGACCCTCAGAGTTCTCTCACAGTAAGAATAAATAGCATAAGCTTCAAACTTTCATTTCTCTTAAGAAATTATATGCATTAGAGAATTTGATATTTTCTATTGTAAATAGTTTTCATGATTTGTCTACTTTAATATACAGAAAGTTCAGGCACAGATATCTGTCTTCCGATATCTGAAAAATGGCGACCTACCCCCATATACAACTTCTTACCTATTTTGACTATGTTCATTTTTTTGCAAGTCATGCTTTTTCTTCCAAGCTTCACACATATTTTACTGTCTCCAATCAGTAAGAATTTCTTTGTCTTGATGAGATACATCCCTTGCAGTTTATTAAAAGTCAGGCAATCTACCTCCAAAAGGGCCCCACTGTAGAAACAAAGAAGGAATTTGTCTTGATTCAAGTAGGAGTTTCTGTATAGAAGGAATAGCATCACATCCACTTTTCATTTGTGTGGCTTTAAATTTGTCCATAGGGTAGATGCATATTTGAGAGAGAGAGAATTAAAATAAAATAGCTTTTTGCTGCTATTATAATCAGCATTGATTTACTCAGGCATTAGATGCAATTGAACCTGAAATAGTCAAAGCATGTTCATGAAAATAATGGAAAATTCTTATCTTGTAATAACTGATTATTAGAAGATAAGTACTTTCTTTAGGTGGGAAGGTAATTTCTTTTTTTGATATCCTGCAGGAATAAATTGAAAAAATAAAACCTGTAAAGAAATATTGACCAAAAAAGTGTTAAAGGAAATAATAAAATAGTCTAAAGGATTATATACATAAAACCATATACACTTAATGGGTAATTTGGGAATTTTCAAAGGTAATTTTGGCTGAGTTCCACTTTTAACTTATCAACAGACTTTAAAATCAATCCTTCTCCCCATGTTCCTTAGATTAAATGTTCTAGGAATTGAATTCTGTCACTTCTGTGACCTCCTATTCCCAATTAAAATCAGGCTTTCAGGAAACTGAAGAAAAGAGAATGTTGCCTACTATGCGACCACATCAAAAGCTCCAAATTGTACTCTTTTAAAAAATTCCTATTTTACAAAGAAAGTGTGTTTTAGTTCCAGTAGTGGCAGAGTAGCTTATATCACACTAACCATCAACATATAACTACTAAAAACTTTGAGCAAGATATTTTTGAAAATACTATTTAAAAGCATTGGAGAAGAACCAAAAGCAGGCAGACACTAGGGGAATTTAATCCTTTAGAAAAGGGTGGATTAGATCCTTGTTTCTAGGTTGTTTGTTGTTTGTTTGTTTGTTTTCGGTACGCGGGCCTCTCACCGCTGTGGCCTCTCCCGTTTCGGAGCACAGGCTCCGGACGCGGAGGCTCAGCGACCATGGCTCACGGGCCCAGCCGCTCCGTGGCATGTGGGGTCTTCTCGGACCGGGTCATGAGCCCGCGTCCCCTGCATCGGCAGGCGGACTCTCAACCACTGCGCCACCAGGGAAGCCCTTGTTTTGTTTTATCTGAAGGCGCTTCTCAGGTCACATTATGATGGGCATTTAGAATCTAACAGAAGGCCACAGTTATACTGTCTTGAGAAGTTAGAGGACAGAGTTTCGGTTGGCCTGAGTGGCTGGGTATTTTTAAGGGAGAAAAGCCTAGAAATGAGGAAACTTTAGACATAGAAGACACAAAGTCTGCATATAAACTCTGCTTAAATTATTATATGTCCCCTTAATAGTGCAGATGTGGAGGAAAATCCAAGGAAACCATGGCAATAGCTAGATGGCTCTAGAAGGAACTAAGAAGATATTTTTGGTGCTGCCTCAAAAGAAGAATTTGGAGATTAATCCAGCCAAGTTAACTGAGTAACAGAGTTAAAATTCACACTTGCCAGAATCCAATCAATCAATCAATAAACAAAGCACCCTATTATCGATAGTGTCCTTCCTACATTCAAAAGCTGCTACAAAAGAGCAGAAATAGAAAAATGTGACAAATAGTGAAGATAAAAAGCAGTCAATGGAAACTGACACCAAGAGGACCTGGATGTTGGAACTAGCAGAAAAGAACTTTTCAACAACTTTTGTAAATATGTTAAAAAAATATGGTCATAATTATTGAATGAATGCAGAATCTTACTGGAGAAGTGGAAACTATAAAAGAGAACAAAATTAAAATACTATAACTGACAAGTAAAAATTTAAAGTTTTAAAAAATGTACTGAATGTATGGGATGGACTTAATAGCAGATAGAAGGCAGGAGAAAAGGTTGGTGAAGCTGAAGATAGATCAATAGAAATTATTTAATCTAAAACAACAGAAAGAAAGTCTTATTGACCTGTGGGACAACATCAAGGGGATAAATAAATATGCAATTAGAGTTCCAGAACAAAAAGAAAGAATTTGGCTAAAAAATATTTAAAGAAATAATGTTCTCAAATTTCCCAAATGTAGCAAAAAATATCAACTTTTAGGTTTAAAAAACTCAGCCAATCCAAGCAGGATAAATACAAAGGAAACCACACCTAGGTACATCATAGTCAAATGGCTGAAAAGCAAAGGCAAATAAGAAATCTTGAAAGCATCCAGAGAAAAATATCACTTCTCATCAGAAATTATGTGAACGAGAAGACATTGGAATAATATATTTAAAACTCTGGAAGGGGAAAAATATGTCCACTTTGAATCCTTACACTACAAAATATTCTTCAATAATGAAGGCAAAATAAGGATATTTCCACCTCTATAAAAATTGAGATAATTTGTTTTAGGAAGTACTTTAGACCAAAGGGAGATAATAATATGTGGAATTTCAGATCTACAGGAAGCAATTAGGTTTACCAGAATAAATAAAGAAGCCAATACATATTTTCTTCTCTTAAATTCTTTAAAGATAAAGATTGCTTAAAGCAAATACTGTAGCATTATTGTGGCATTTACAGTATATGTAGGGACTTCCCTGATGGCGCAGTGGTTAAGAATCCGCCTGCCAATGTAGGGGACAAAGATTGGGCTCTAGTCTGGGAAGATCCCACATGCTGTGGAGCAACTAAGCTCGTGAGCCACAACTACTGAGCCTGTGCTCTAGAGCCCACGAGCCACAACTACTGAGCCCACGTGCCACAACTACTGAAGCCCACGTGCCTAGAGCCCATGCTCCGCAACAAGAGAGGCCACTGCAATGAGACGCCTGCACACCGGAATGAAGAGTAGCCCCCGGTCTCCACAACTAGAGAAAGCCCACGCGCAGCAACAAAGACCCCATGCAGCCAAAAAAAACCCCCAACCCCCCAAAAAAACAATATATCTAGATATAAAATATATGACAGTAGTACAAAGGGTAGAAGGTGATGGGTACAACTATATTGTTGCAAGTTTCTTATATTTTACATGAAATAGTACATTAACTCTAAGCAAACTCTAAGAAATGGTTGAATATTGCAACAGTTAGAGTAATCTAAAAAGAGATAGTGCCCAAAAGTGAAAATAAGGAAGAAATTGAGTGTTTCAATAGTTCTTTCTTTCAAAGAAGTTCAATTTATTATTAATAAGCCTTCCTACAAAGAAAACTTTATGCCCAGATAAAGCTAGTGAATTCTATCATATATATACAAAATAGTGCCACTCCTACACAAATTCTTTCAGAAAATAGAGGAGAAATGAACGCCTCCCAACTTATTTTATGAAGTTAGCTCAAATCTGGTACAGAAATCTGGCAAAAATATTACAGAAAAGAAATTTACAAATTAATGTTCCTCAAGAAAATGTCAGTACATTGATATTAACACATAATGTTAAAGTGGGATGCATGCAGGAAATCAAGGTAGGTTCAACAATCAAAGATCAATCAATACAATTCACCACATGAACAGAATAAAAGGCATAAATTATCTGATCAACTCAAGTGATCAGAAAAAGCATATGAAAAAATTCAACATCCATTTATGATAAAACTCTCAGCAGACACATCCTCAACCTGATAAAAGGCATTTACAAAAGATCTATAGTTAATAACATAACCTAATGGTGAACTAGTGAACAGTTTTCTCCTAAGGTAAGGACAAGGCAGGAATATCTATTTCCCACAGCTTTTATTCAACAGTGCACTGGAGGTTCTAGCCGGTGCATAAGGCAAGAGAAACAAATAAAAATCACCAGTTTGAAAAGAAAGAAAATAAGACTTTCTTTACTTGCAGACATGTTTGTTCACATGGAAAACTATAAAGGCTCTCCAACACAATCACAGGAACGAATATAGTGAATTCACTAAGGCCGGTATACAAAAGTCAATTATATTTCTATAGACTAGTGTCCAAAAATTGGAAAATAAATTAAAAAAATAACAGCTCCACTTATGATAGCAATAAAAACATAAAATGCTTAGAAATAAAATTAATAAAAGATGTTTAAGGCCTTTGCAATGGAAATGACAAAACATTCCTGAGAGGTATTAAAGGAGATCTAAATAAATAGAGAGCTACATTCATGGATTAGCAAACTCAGTGCTGAAAAATGGAAATTTCCCCCAAATTGGTGTATGTAATTTTAATCAAAATCTCAGCAGGATTTAAAATAAATTGACAAGCTGATTCCAAAGTTTATGTGGAGGGCCACTCTGGTGGCGCAGTGGTTGAGAGTCCGCCTGCCGATGCAGGGGACACAGGTTCGTGCCCCGGCCTGGGAAGATCCCACATGCTGCGGAGCGGCTGGGCCTATGAGCTGTGGCCGCTGAGCCTGTGCGCCCAGAGCCTGTGCTCCGCAACGGGAGAGGCCACAACAGTGAGAGGCCCACGTACCGCAAAAAAAAAAAAAAAAAAATTTATGTGGAAACCCAAAGAGCTCAGAATAGTCAAAACAACTTTGAAAAAAGTTGTTTTTCAAATAAGGAGGACACAGAGCACTTGATTTCAAACTTACTGTAAAGTTATGATAATCAAGACAGTTTGGCATTGGCACAATGACAGAAATATTAATCAATGGAAAACATAGAGTGTTCAGAAATAGACTCATACACATAAGGTTACTTGATTTTAAAACATACACTCAATCAATTCAATGGAAATAAATCTTTTCAGCAAATTGTCCTGAAACAAATGAGCAAATGTGTGGAAAATATGAACCTTAATCTCACAAAAATTAATTGGGTATGGAGTATAGCTCTAAATATAAAGATTAAAACTGTAAACTGTTTAGAAGAAAACATAAGAAAATATCCTCCTAGATTTGAGTGTAGACAGACAGTCATCACACAAAAAACACTAAATATAAAAGAGAAAAATGAAATACATTGGACTTCATCAAAATGAAAAACCTCCTGCTTATTAAAATATGTCATTAATAAAATGAAATGGCAAGCTACAGACTAGCAGAAAATAGTTGTAGTACATATATATAACATCAGAAC